ACAAAAAATGTTACAATGGTTGTCTTATATGCTTGGTATCATATATACATTCTCCTCTAATGGACGCGGTGGATATCGTCAAGATCTGCAGAGATGTAACAAACACCATATGATAATTTGGACTTGAAAGGCCTCCTAGGTGGAAGTGTCGAAGACATGTTACATTTTTAAAAAGTTCATGCTATATATACAACCACAAATGCCAACTGTTGACAATTGGATAGTTTTTAAAATATCTACTCTTCATCTGTCTCAACAACTACCAAAACTTTACATCTGGAGAGTACAATTTAGGCAATTCCTCGATCGTGAACCCCATGGCAATTAACTTCTGCTTTTGTTTGTTGTTGGTAAATTTGTCTCGACTATAGTTACTGTCACCGTTTGCAGGTATCTTATACAGCAGTCCAACAATAATGTCCTCTTCGTACCTCTTGAGCAGATGACATCCGTCGAAAAGGTAGTTGGTTGCATATTCATGCTTCTTGTCAAACGAACATGTTGTCCATTTAATTTCGTCTTTATCTATGACGATTATACCCGAAGAGCTTTTATCTTTAGGGTACCTTTTCCACATAACATCCTCAGCATCTTTATCATCCTCAGCATCTTTATCATCTTCAGCATCGTTATCACCCTCAGCATCTTTGTCATCCTCAGCATCGTTATCACCCTCAACATCTTTGTCATCTTCAGCATCTTTATCACCCACCGCATCTTTGTCATCCTCAGCATCTTTATCGCCCTCAGCATCTTTATCATCCTCACATGTGCTCTCATCTTTCTGTGGCAAGCTTTGCTTATGCTCATGCGGTTTAAATCCCATAGCAAACAACTTCTCTTTTTCCTTCTGGCTAAGAGAATGACACTCTACATTCTCTGCAGCAATATGGTCATCAGTCATCAAGCCGATTACAGTGTCTTTTTTGCGCATCTTGAGAATGTGCATTCCATTTACAAGTACATTCTCGGAATATTCCAAGTACTTGTTAAGTTTTTTCCATATCACCTTGGATTTATCTGTTGGTCCTTCTACTGGTACTTCTTCTTCTACTTCGATCTCCTCGTTGAAAAGCGTCTTTCTCTCTTCATCAGACAATGGTTGAAGTTTCATCTTGCTAAGCATGGAGCGTTCCAAGATATCCAACTCTGGAACATCACCGACACCGCGCAGAGCATCAAGCGTAAACAGGCCAACGTATGTATTCTTTCCAGATAGCCTGACAATGTACTTGCCATTCATCGTAAACTTAGTTGCATACTCAAGCATGTCGTTATTAGGATGAATCATCCATCCTCTGTCCTTCGCACGTGCTATGTCTTTCTCTGATCTAATGTTATGCACCGTTGTGGCCAGTGCAAATGTATGTTCATCTTTTCCATCCTTAGAAACGTCTACATTAGAAGATGGCTCTGCATTTTTGGGCATCTCTGAATGCCTTTTCTTTCGAGAAGTCTTCTTCTCATCATCCTTAGATGACTTTTTATGAGATAGTTTTTCATCAGGGTTATCCTTAGAGGTATCATCTCCAGATTCTACATCAGGTCTGTTATTGGACTTGCCATCATCAGAGTCTTTATCATCAGGGGAATCATCGTCAGAGCCAGCATCATCAGACGTATCACCATCATCTGTATCATCGTCAGAATTCTCATCAGCAGAAGACTCTTCTATTTTTTCTACATCAGCAGGAGTTGCCTCTTGGAGTCCCATCTTTTGTAATATACGTACCTCTTTGTCAGATAATTTCGGTACAGGAAGATTTTTCCCCATGAGCTCAGGTGGACACAATACAATGTAGAGGTCCTTTTCCTTCAGCTTAATAATGTACTTGCCATTTACAGTATAGTTTTTTGCATACAGGAAAGCTGGATTAGTTGCATAACGCATCCATATGCCTGTATTAGCGAGTGGTACATTTTTCTTGGACGTTATGTCAACTACCTTTGGACTCAACGGAAAGGAGACGGCAATTATATCTTCTTCATCATCATCGGACGGCTCCTCATCCGATGACTCCTGCTTGTTTCTCTTTCGCTTCTTTGGTTCTTCATCCTCGGAAGTCATATCATCATCTGAAGGGACAAACTCAGGAGTATGTGTCTTCTTGGTTATCTTGGAAGACTTGGTACGCTTGTTGGCAGGTGCCTTATTGTTACTGCTTTTCATATGACCTTTATGCTGCTCTCGATGACGTCCACAGTATGTTTCACCAAGTTTGGCTACACTACCACAATTAGCGCCCTTAATGGTTGTGCCTTGACACTTGCGCGCAGGATCGTGGACATAACAATGCATGCCTTCATCATCAACTTCCTTCATGCATTTGCGCTTGGACTTGGTGCACTTTGCACCACAAAAGTAGTATCTCTCTACTCCCTCATCCTCATCAAGCGCCTTAAAGATCTTATTTGCATCTTTCTTGGTAAACTCCACTCCCTTCTTAGAAGAAAATGTCTCGAAGGCCTTGGTGATGAGCTCGATTGTAAGCTGAACGTACTGCATGTTTTTGGATATGAACGATATAGATTGTACTTGTGATATGGTGGGTGTGAATGACTTTTCAGTTTATGTGTGGTAGATTGCAGCTGCTTAGTACACTGATATAAAGAATTGCAATAAAAGATGGTTGTATAGGTATGGATGGTTGTATAGATATGGATAATGGTTGGTTGGTTACTAGATAAGATAAAGATTAAGCAAGAGGGAAGTGGAGTCCTTTATTTATACTAATTCATGGGACACTGCCACACTGGATATTAATAGCGCTTGCTTATTAACACTGCTTGGCGCTTAGTAACAAAAGAGTTTTAAAAAGGCATCTAAGTGGTTAATAACGTAGTGTTCCTCGTATGACGTAGATCTTGCTTATTAAGACTGCTTGGCGTTAAAGACGGGGTTTAAAAATGGTTAAGAATGTAGTATTCTTTTATGACGTAGGTTTGTACATGTGTTTATGTATTCTTTTATGGCGTAGGTTTGTACATGTGTTTATCCTCTTTGTTAAATAAAAAGGAATGTTGTAGAATAGCATAGAATAGCATCCGATCTACTACAATAATACCATGACTTTTAATAATAGATACCGGTGCATATTAGCGTCTAGGCAGTTAATACCGTATCTCAACGCTGACTAAATAGGCTATGTATGTCTATTCTTTTAAAAACCTGCAATAAGTCTACAAATTACCATTAACATCCATTTGTCGCTTCGTACCTCTAAGCTCAATGGAAAGACCGGGTTGCATTATTACTGCTTGATCCATTGGTGTGTCCTCATCAACATTAACATCAACATCACCATGAAGATTAATACCAAGAAATTTGTTCTGGAGTTGTGCCATTGTATTTCCATCCTCCACTAGCGCACCAACATCAACATATCCCATTGGTTGCTCAACGTCGTTCTCTGTCGTCGGATACTCGAATCCTTCGCGAAGCCAAGCTGTATGAATTGGTTCTGCAGAAATCTTCAACAAAGCAACCATCTTTTTCATGTTTAAGAGTAACAAAGATAACTTCAACTGCAAATTATATGTTTGTTTCTTATCCACCAACACAGGAGTACGGTTGTTGTGTTTCTCAAATGTGGAACCAAGGTCTGCAAACAGAGATTCCATCTGCGAGCGGAAACTACCAAAGGTGGTATTGTATAACGCTTCTTCCTGTGTAAGTTCCTTGTTCTTCTGTTTACGGTATGGATGAGCGAAATTTTGGAGTTTAAGAGTATCAGACTCATCTATAAGCCTCCTTAAGAACTGTGGATACCCTCCATCGAGAGCAATGCAATCCATCTCATGCACTCTCTTGTCCAACTTCATCGTTAGCAGCATTGTTCCATCAGCATTGTTCTTGCAAGATGCAGATTTGGAGACAAATAAAGCCATGCCATTACAATCCATTGCTACCTGTGTGCGTAATCCTGACTTTTTCAGCTTGTAAGAGTACATATCAGCACTACTCTCACCTTTGTATGTTGCTCTTGTATCATGACCATCAAGATGCAATGTAACATGCTTAAATAATGGAGGATTCTTTTCCTTTGCAGACAAAAGGCGTATTTTAATTGTGGAGAACATTGTTGCAATACAGTTGGTGATGTACTTGTTGTGCAAAGTATATTCTTTCTTATAAAACACAGAGTGCATTGCATGAAAACTACTTTTTGGCATGTGTGGTTCCATTGCTTCCATAGACAGTCCTTTGACAAGATGGTAGAGCATTAAAAGACCTTTCTCCACTTCTTTGTATGGACCAGGATACTTAACCTTTGGCCAGATGTCAACAAGAAAGAAGTACACTGGAATAGGACCAAGGCGTCGATTTAGGGTTTCTTTTATTTCTGGCATATACCCAATTTCCTTGCTTACAGTACGATGATTATTACGTGGTGTAATTGTTGGCCATCCAGCGTTGAGGAAAGTCCAATGGTCATCAAGCAGTTGTTGGAAGTGTTTTGTTAGATCCATAATAATATTTATGTATTGGATTGTCATGACGTTAACCAACAATAACAATTTTTTAAAAAGGCTTATACTTAACTGTATACACAACAGCATGTAGGATGGTATCTATCATACAGCAAGCACATAGTTGAGAATACAAATATATTTTTATATTTTATTCGGTAGCGGCCCCTTCATGTGCAGAGGATATAAAAAGGCATATAAAAAATATCCAAAGTCCAAGGAACGGAGTGTTGACTTCCATAACTGGCATATCTCTTCATAGTGGGCAACAGAACACAGAATAAAATAGCAATAGACAGCACAAGAATTTTTAAAATGTAATCTCTCCCCTGTATTTCACGACAAAGATACAGTTGAGAATACAAGTGCTTTAGATGATCACATACAAGAACTACTCTGTCGAATCTTGCAGTGAGGGTTACAGGTTAATAGTAGATGGACATATTCAAGAGTTTGGTGTGCGAAAAATAAGAAGACTTTGTTGTTTGGAGAATAGGTTGGTGTTTAGTAGGATAGTTAAACAAAAAATGTTACAATGGTTGTCTTATATGCTTGGTATCATATATACATTCTCCTCTAATGGACGCGGTGGATATCGTCAAGATCTGCAGAGATGTAACAAACACCATATGATAATTTGGACTTGAAAGGCCTCCATACACGCGACTGACTGCTGCCTTGAGCTGCGACGGCATTCGGCCTCCATGCTTCGAGATAGTGGCGACGTCAAAGGTGAGGTTCTCAATACTGGATACGAAGACTGGATCCGGTTCAACTTTCTGCTTGGGCCTTCTCTTCCTCACGGCATCCTCGCCAATCGCCTCCTCTGTCACTGGCTCTATCGTGACTACTCCGACAGGTCCACGCCGCCCTCTGTCGCTGCTCTCAATGTGCCCAATTCCTGCGGCGTCATTTAAGGTTCCAGACACAGGTTCTTCCTCCCAATCCATGGCTCTATCAACGACTTTCGATTTTGCCGGGCTCATATCTTTCTTGGCCTTGGGTCCTACTGGAAGGTTCGATCGTTCTTGGCGCCGCTTTTGGTCGACCCCACCCATACTGCGTGTCGTCCTCTGCGCGGCCAAGGCGTGGTCGATTTCGATGCTCTGCACTCTCATCGAGTTTTGTTGGGTTACGGGGATACTGTTGGGGCCTGTCGCTGGGGTGGTGGACTTGTTGGGGCAAACTCGGGCGACATGTCCTCTTTCATGGCAGTGATAACACTCAACAGCAGGGCATTCGTTGGCGTAATGGCCTTCTGCCTGGCACTTATGGCATAATCTGGGCCCGGTGGAAGCAGGAGTAGCGCTGGGTTGCACGACTTGGCGGCTGGCTGGCATCTCGATGGCACCACCTCGAATGTGCTGGGCGAACCTAGTGTGGCCGAATACCTTGCGAGCAACGGCTACCGGAAGCCGAGCAATTGTGCGAGCGACTCGCCCGGCTGAGGTCTGGTCTTCCAACGATGCCAAACTCCAGGACTCAAACATCTTGACCATCTCATCAACTTCTGCTGTCAGCGTTTCGGGCTCGAAGTCCTTTCTGAAGGCTTGAAACTCTGCGGCAGGGATCTTGGTACCGGCAATCTCGATCGATCCAGTGGTATGCCTGGGTGCGAGCCTCTCAGCTTCCTTGCGGATCTTGTCCTCGTAAGTCTCCTCCTCATATTGGTTGTGGCGGCAATACTTGGCAAGTGCGGCGTAGGTCCCTGCTAGGGTCGGCTCGGGATCTCGGTTCTTAACCTTGAAGGGGTGCCCAGGCATCAACCCTCGACAGAACGCAATACTGAAAGTCGCCTCGGCGTCATCGGTCAGCGTATACAGGGTAGCATCAGGTTTGGACGTCAACTGTAGCAGCTTGATGTTGGCCTTCATCCTTGCAATGTACCGGTCTGTCAACTCTCCGGTCTTCTGCTTGATGCTCATTATCTCAGCATATGTACTGGCGGTCGTCCGTGGTCTGGCTATCTCCGCTCGAAAGTCAGTGGAGAACTTTTCCTTACTGCCGTCGGTGGCGAATTCCAACGCCCATCTCTCCACCCATCCTTTCGCCATACCAGTCGTCTTGAGCTTCACTACTCGCTGGTACGGAAGTTGGGTGATATCGGCAACCTGGTATACATCTGCGAGCCAGCTCTCCACATCCATGTCTTGAGCGTTCGTCCATGTCTCGAGGTTTGTGAGGTAAAAGGTCGGGTTTGCCATCTTGTTCTTGCTGTTGTACCAATTGCTGGCCCCTGCGTAGATCACCAAAATATTGTTACTCAGGGGAGAGGGTCGACGGCCAGAGTTGTAGGACCGCTGTTAGGTCCTCAATTGGTACGGAGGGGGGGGGGGAAGGGGTTGTAGGTTGGGGGGAGGGGAAGTGACAATAGTGTCCTAAAAGAATCACACAAAACGATACACTGCAGCGTGCCAGCGAAACTCTTGTCAATACTGCTCTCGTCCAAGTGATGTGTAAAAGGACCTTGTATTCATATTATCAAAGAGGGGGTTGTTACCTGCAGCGTGCCAGCGAAACTCTTGTCAATACTGCTCTCGTCCAAGTGATGTGTAAAAGGACAAAGAGCAGACAAGAGGGCTCGGCGCACTACTAATACTATGTCTACTAAAGAATATGACTGCTAACCTAAGGCATCGCCGCCACTGCCTAGCCACCACATCTTTTTGTAACAATACTAAGGGACACTGCCCTTAATTATCTCACTGAGTACGCTTCTTGATAATGTACAGTCACGAAAATGCGACAGCTTTCCTCTCCCTTTGAAGAACGAATTATGAGTTCTTGGATTTCAAAGGCATGTAGTGGATGGACATAATTTATGTCTTACTTCGATTGCGGGTCCGCCTGCGTTTACGCCTTGGCGGCAATAATGATTCTTCTTCTTCATGTTGTTCTTCGTCTTGTTGTTCTTCTTGTTCATCATCAGAATCTGCAGGGGAATCGGCTGTTATCAGAGGATTTGGTTGTTCATTAATGTTTTCTTTATCTTTCCAGTAGGAAGTAAGAGAAGATCGTTCAACAAAGTTCTCTTCTGGTTCCCAGGTGTTGAGCTTGTTGGAATAGTTTTTCCATTTGACGAAATATTCTTTCTTCGTACTGTCATGTGTATGTTGCCTATGTGCTACCACTTTTTCCACCTCATAGGTGTCTGATTCATCGGCGTTGTCAAGGACCAGTTTGAGTTGAGATGGTGCGTATGATCTTTCTAAAATAGCGCCAGTTCCATCTTTAAGGATATATGCGCCACCCGCGTTGCGGTTGACTACTGTGTATGGTCCTTCATATCTTGGTGATAATTTTTCGCCGAGAATTGGATTAAGTGTCATCACTTTGGCTCCATCGGGGAACTCGTTGAGTAATACTGTACGATTGAACCTCTCTATCATTCTCTTTTGAGTGTTCTCTGTATTTTCTTTGATTGCTGGAAAGACTGTTTTGGTCATGTACTCAAGTCGTTCAAGAAGTTTATCTTGTGTTAATGGATTGTTTTTCTCATCACAGAAGTGGCTGAAACCGTTGTTTTGACGTGCAAAGAAGAGTGAAAATGGAGATGAGTTGTGTAGTGATACAATGCGTGTGTTCATCGATAATTGAATGAAAGGAAGGTGTTCGTCCCACATATGCCCCTCCTCGAGAACTTGTTTTCTGATCATTTGTACGGCTGTTTTGACATGGTTTTCGGCCACACCATTGCCCATTGCCGCGAGGGTGGTAAGGGGTAATAAGACGATGGTCGATGCACATTTTTGTGGTCAAAAGTTTTGTAATTGTATTGACGAATTCTCCACCATTGTCAGATTGAAGTATTTTAGGAAAGCCGATCAAACAGAATAATTCCCATAGCGCAGTGGCTACAGTTAGACCTTTTTTGTTTGGCAAGGCGCGCAAGAAAACAAATCGCGTACAAACATCAACAACTACAAGTAGTCGGACGTTTTTGTTCTTTGTCAACGGAAGCGGACCTGCCAGATCAATGGCTATGTGTTCTCCTGGAAGTTGAGCATTGATGGCTTTCATAGGATGGTATCCTTTTCGTGCAATATTGAATCGTTGACATTCTCGGCATCGTTTGATAAAATCGACACATTCTTGTGACAGATGAGGCCAAGTAAGTCCTTGTTCATGAATAGAATTGACCATTGCGTTTGCTCCAATATGTCCCATTGCATGGGTTGTAAACAATATATTGTTTCTTTTAACTGGATCTACTTTTTTGCGTTCAGTTTCTTTATCTTGGATTAGATGCATGTAGGAAATAATTTTCTTTTGATCAGCTTTAGTTGTATTTTTATTTGTGATTTCAATTGGATATAGGCGTGATAGGGCATCGGGTAATACGTTAAGAATGCCTGGGCGATAGTGCACCGTGAAAGTATAGTTTAAGATTGTTTCTTGCCAGTTGGTGAGCATTGAGTTGAGCTCAGGTTGAGTATGGATGTATACAAGTGAACGATGATCGGTATATAAGTCAAAGTGTCTTCCCCAGAGGTAGTAGTGAAAACGATTGAGTGCAAAGACAATCGCTAACAATTCTCTATGCGTTGCTGAATATCTGCGTTCACGATCTTGCAAAGATCGCAACATGAATGATATATAGTTGATAGTGTCTGGGTACTTTGGACCCTTTGGAAGTTGATAGAGTACAGCGCCAATCCCGACGTTAGAAGCATCGGTGGCTACATAGAAAGGTTGACTGAAGTCTGGGAAGGACAAGACAGGGGCTATGAGCAAGATATTTCGTAGTGCATCAAAGGCGCGCTTCTGCTCATCATTCATTACGAAAGAGTCGGTTCGACTGCGAAGTGCATCTAGAGGTGCTGCGACCGTACTGAAGTTTGGAACATATTCACGGAAAAAATTACACGTTCCGAGGTAAGATTGGATTTGTTTGGCGCAAGTGGCATATTCCACCTTGTGCATGTTCACAAGCTTCTTGGTGTCAACACTCTTGCCATGGAGACCCACAAGGAATCCAAGGAGTGAGATCTGTATGCTGAAGAAGTTGCATTTATCGCGGTTGATAATTAATTTTGCCTCGTTGAGACGTTTAATTACAATCTTTACGTGTTCAGCGTGCTCTTTTCTCGAACGTGAAAATATAACGATGTCATCTATAAAGTTGCACACAAACGGTAGATCACCGAGGATCCGGTTCATTCCACGCTGAAATAGACTCGACAGAGGCTTCAAACCAAATGGTGCTTTTTTGAACATGTATTGAGTACCCTTATGCATGAATGCCGTGAGAGGTTGGTCCTCTTCGTGGATTGGTAGTCTGTGGTATGCTTGTGTGAGATCGATCGTGGTGTACACAGCGTTGCCTGATAGGCGGTTGAGAATATCTGGTATAAGTGGCAATGGATAATTGTCGTCTGGTAGGTGTTTGTTTAAGGGTCTTGGATCAAGATACACACGCCATAGTGTTTTGTTTCCTTCTGCATCTTTCTTTGCTGCTAGCGTTAATGAATTGTTATGGACGTTGCCTACAGGGGCTAGTTTGATTACATCGTCATTCTTCCATTTCCTGATTGCTTCATCGAAAATAGGAATTTGTTTTTCTGCAAATGGACGCGGTCGTCTAAAAAGCACAGTGCCTTCAGGTACAGGAAGAAATACCTTCATTTCCGGAACGGGACAATGACTGGTGACGGGAACTTGTTTATTCTCCTTTAGTACACCTTCAATAGCCTTGAGGAAGGTTTCTTTTTCTTTGATATATTGTTTTGTTTTTTCCTGACTTGGAATTTTTCCTGGTATGAGTGAAGGTTTGTGGTCCGGATCTGGATCTGGAAGAGTTGTAGCATCCGCTCCTGGGTCAGGTAGTCCGGTTATGCCCAGTCCAAATCGGTGGAAGAGATCGATTCCAATTGTGAATGGATATTGCTGATCTATGACCTCCAGTGGTGCTGACACATAGTGAATTCCAACCTGTAGTTCGATGTTATCTGTTCTTCCAGTTCTTGGGATTGTGATTGACTGATCAACGAGCGTGATGACTCCATCGACTGGGTTGATGTTCACTTTGTGTTTTTCTGCTATGTCCCGACGAATGCAAGAGTCTGTGGCTCCTGTGTCAACTAGTGCTTCGTACTTCTCTCCTTCGAATGTGATGGTAGTGAGAACTCTTTTTTCTCTGTCGGAGATGTTGGGTGCTTGTAGTGCTCGCAAAGTGATTGTTTTATTGTTTGTTGTATTGTAGAAGCTAAGCGAATCCATTTTCCCTAGCAGTTCCTGTAAAAGGGTGTCCTCAAGTCGTATCGCCCGAATGTTATTGTGTAATTGTGTTGATCCTGGTAGAATGGATGATGAGGCGACAGTGATGCTTGGGTTGTTTGTGCTTGCTTGCTTTGATAGTTGTTGTTGGTTGCGGAGGTGAAGTGCTTGTTTTATTGTAAACTTATGGGCACGCGAAAGAGAAATTAGTTCCGGCTCTTCTTCGGTGGCTTTGTTGTTTGTTGTATGACTGCTTAATGCAAATTCCTCTTTCTTTGCGTTCTGAATTGATTGACATTCCTTCATTTCTCCCCCCTTTTCAACATCTAAACGCATATCCAAACAAGGGCTTGGCACTGACACCGTTGTGGCAGGCGTGGGGTTTGTACGTACTCGTTGTATGACAGGAATGCGATTAACACCAGTAGCATTATTTTTGATTGTTATGGCACATTGTGTATGTTGTGTATTCAGTTCTATATTGTCTATGTTGTTTATGTTGCTAATGCTATTGTTTATGTTTTTAGTGTCGAGGGACTCGACCAAGTGGCTCATAATGTCCGTCTTGTCTGCGTGATCATTAGGATTGCTGGTTGCCTGCGGGTTATTTTGCAGAGAGAAGGGTATGTCAGTGTTATTATTGCTTTGATTAAATGTTAATTCAGCATAATTATTTAGTTTAATTGCATTTATGGTGATGGTAGATTGCTTACCTTGAGTACCGTTCTGCTGTTGTTCTTGACGCATTCTTGTGCGGCAGTCTGCATAGGTGTGACCCCTGTTGCTGCAGAATGTGCAGAATCGGCAGTCCTTGGTTTCGTGCGAGTTATTCCAGCTGCAGCCTTGGCAGAACTTCATGCCTGCTCGAGGAGGTTGCCCGGGTGTTTGCCCAAAAGGGGGCTGACTGTTGCTGCGTCCCATGGGGTTCATTCTCCCTTGTCCTCGGCCTCGGAAAGTTCCTCTGAGTGCTCCGCGAGATGCTCCGCGTGATCCTCGAACTCCATTTGTGAAGGTGTTGTGCCGTGGCCCAAAAGACTGCTGCTGCTGTTGCAATTGATCCTGAGATCGTCCCACTGCCCGAGGTTGATCGATTGCATCCTCAGGTCCCGTTAATGTGCTCATCAGTGCACATAGGGTATTGATCGATTTAAAGGCTGTGGCGTCTGGGTTCTTTATCTGATGCTTAAAGAGCAGGAAATCGTACTCCATCCCCGGGATCGACCTCCCGAGTTGATGAAGGATGATGTTGTTATCGTCTTGGATTCCATTCACTCGTGCATGCCGAAGGATACGAGCGGAATAACGGTTATACGTCTCGCCCATATTGCGTCCCATGTCTGCCATGTTCCGCATGTTCTCCAAACGTTCCTCTTTGGTGAGGCAGATGCTGAGGAATACCTTCTCCGCCATGTCCCAACCGATGTTTCCTTCGATGGCGGCGAATCGACGTTGTAGCTCTTGTTGATAATGGTCGTCGTTAGTGAGGACGATGAGATACCGATGACACTCGTTTTCGAAGGTATCCATGCCGAGACGTGTTTTGAGATGGGTTGCGAAGCGCTCGAGAAAGACTCTGGTCTCATTGGTTTCATAGGCTGTGGCTGGATTCAACGAGAATCTGGGCATGTCGGGTGTTGGTTTGATGGCCGCTTGTTGGGTCATTGATGTTGCGACTACCGCCGTTGGGGTGTTGTTGGCAATTGTTGCGGTCGCTGCTGTTGGCGTTAATATGGTGGAGTGTGCTGAGATGGTGGACCCTGGGTGCTTCTTTATCCTGAGCTCATACAGCGATGACTCCAGTTGCTTGATCAATTGTGCATTGTCTTTCTCCTTGTCTTTGTTGATAGCAATTTGTTGCTGATAGTGTTGGAGCAGGTGCTGAGGTGGTCGTCCTGCCAGAAGAGTCGACATGTACACAATCTGTTCGGATAGAGCGATGTTCTCCGCTTTGAGACTGGCTAGCGTGTTGGTTGCGACTTCGCGGAAGTTGGATGGTGGTGTGTCGGGATATAGATCGGTGACACCAGTATCCGAGTCGACTTCCATTTCTTGGTCTCCTACATCGGAATCGTTATCCTCGGCGTTCTTGTCCTGCCATGTTGTTCCGACCGGTGCAAGTAATGCATCTGGCTCAGTGCCGCCAGCGGAAGAGTTGATCGACGTTGTCGGTTCCATGACTTCAGCGGTGGAAGATGTAGCTCCTTCCGTGGTGGGGTCGTTAGGCGTTACAATAGTGCCGATGGCGATGGCTGCTGCTGTTGGTGCCATGATGGTGGTGGTTCGAGGTCGTTTGCCGTTGCTCTTTGCTATTTTTCCCATAGTTGATTCATTTCTGTTTTTTGAATGGGGTAGCATAATGAGCAATTAGTTTTTTTTTTTTTTTTTTTTTTTTTTTTTTTTGATTCAAGATCACGTTATGACAATGATCTTTCTTTTGTTCTTCCGATCTCTCTTGTTATAAATCTGGTCCGTTGGACTCTGCTACACTATAATAGTTCGTGTGTTATTCAAGAGAGTGCTTTGGTTCCGTGTTATAGATACCGCGCTTGTTGATGGACGTTGTCCTTGGGCTTTGATGGATTGAGTGGTTTGGATGGATGGATGTAATGTGCGATACTTCGAATAAACGATACCCTTGAATCTTCACTTAAAAAAATGAAAAATATAGCGTACCTTGGAGTAAGTGAGAAAGAAGATCGGGGATCGTTTATTACTAAGTCTAGGGTTTAAATACTAAGGGACACTGCCCTTAATTATCTCACTGAGTACGCTTCTTGATAATGTACAGTCACGAAAATGCGACAAGATCAAGTTGTCGAATGAGTTTCCGCGTTACCATCGGTTGGTCGAGGCTCATCTGCTTCCTGTTCTTGACATCAAGATCCACGGTCCCTTGATTACCAACGTCCGAGAGTTCCTGTACGAATTCCATAGAATAGGAGTAACAAAGTTCACGACGGGCGGGTTCGATGAGAGATGTTCAAGGTTGTTGTGCTTGGCGAATATGGATCGCAAAGCGTCTGATGCCATGAATGCAGTCTTGAGTCGTGACCCTGAAGGAAAGTGGCCGTGGGCGAGATGCGAGAAAGTGTTTGTGGAGAGTGCTATGACGCAGACTGAGAGAACAGATGAGGTTGAGAAGGTGATCAAGATGGGGTTAGAACGAGGTGAATCGTACAAGCAGTACTACCATCGGATGAAGAGGTTGATGGATGTGTACCAAGTCAAGGACTTACCCAAGTTCGCTGATTTGTTATTCTTGCTGCAGAGAGCGGTCGACCCGAGCGTTCTTACGATGATCTTGTTACAGAAGCGCATTGCGGTCCTTGAGGGGATGCTGGGTGTGGCACCTGATGAAACAACCTTCGAGTCTTATATGGACAGTTTGCAGCATATGCAGGGACCCGCAGACAGTGATGAGTGGGCACCGGTTATTTTGGAGAGGAGACGATTGACCGGGGCTGCAGATAACGAAGCAGCGAGGCAGGCCCAGAGTTTAAAGGATAAGCTCATCAACCAGCAGAAGAGGGCAGCGGCAGCAGCAACGCTTGCGACGACAAGTGGAACGCGTGTTGGGGGGACTACTGGTGGTAGCATCAACCAAGTTCCTACAGCGGGTGACAGTTCGGTCCAGAAGGGGAATGCTGGATTCGGCGGTCAACGTGGCGCCTTCGGTAATGGTAGTGGTTCTGGTGCGCCTAGAGGTCGAGGAGGCGGCCCCTTCATGTGCAGAGGATATAAAAAGGCATATAAAAAATATCCAAAGTCCAAGGAACGGAGTGTTGACTTCCATAACTGACATATCTCTTTATAGTGGGCAACAGAACACAGAATAAAATAGCAATAGACAGCACAAGAATTTTTAAAATGTAATCTCTCCCCTGTATTTCACGACAAAGATACAGTTGGGAATACAAGTGCTTTAGATGATCACATACAAGAACTACTCTGTCGAATCTTGCAGTGAGGGTTACAGGTGAAAATTTTTACGCTAGTCACGCACAATCGAATTGATAAGACAAGAGAGGGATCTTTGTTAACAGCCCAGACACCTCCATTTATGTCGGTGTCTGGTCATATGACTAAATTACTGTCTCTAGCCTAATTACATTAGCTGACACCCCCGAGACAGGCAAATATGCGACAACAGGTTAATAGTAGATGGACATATTCAAGAGTTTGGTGTGCGAAAAATAAGAAGACTTTGTTGTTTGGAGAATAGGTTGGTGTTTAGTAGGATAGTTAAACAAAAAATGTTACAATGGTTGTCTTATATGCTTGGTATCATATATACATTCTCCTCTAATGGACGCGGTGGATATCGTCAAGATCTGCAGAGATGTAACAAACACCATATGATAATTTGGACTTGAAAGGCCTCCTAGGTGGAAGTGTCGAAGACATGTTACATTTTTAAAAAGTTCATGCTATATATACAACCACAAATGCCAACTGTTGACAATTGGATAGTTTTTAAAATATCTACTCTTCATCTGTCTCAACAACTACCAAAACTTTACATCTGGAGAGTACAATTTAGGCAATTCCTCGATCGTGAACCCCATGGCAATTAACTTCTGCTTTTGTTTGTTGTTGGTAAATTTGTCTCGACTATAGTTACTGTCACCGTTTGCAGGTATCTTATACAGCAGTCCAACAATAATGTCCTCTTCGTACCTCTTGAGCAGATGACATCCGTCGAAAAGGTAGTTGGTTGCATATTCATGCTTCTTGTCAAACGAACATGTTGTCCATTTAATTTCGTCTTTATCTATGACGATTATACCCGAGGAGCTTTTATCTTTAGGGTACCTTTTCCACATAACATCCTCAGCATCTTTATCATCCTCAGCATCTTTATCATCTTCAGCATCGTTATCACCCTCAGCATCTTTGTCATCCTCAGCATCGTTATCGCCCTCAGCATCTTTGTCATCTTCAGCATCTTTATCACCCACCGCATCTTTGTCATCCTCAGCATCTTTATCGCCCTCAGCATCTTTATCATCCTCACATGTGCTCTCATCTTTCTGTGGCAAGCTTTGCTTATGCTCATGCGGTTTAAATCCCATAGCAAACAACTTCTCTTTTTCCTTCTGGCTAAGAGAATGACACTCTACATTCTCTGCAGCAATATGGTCATCAGTCATCAAGCCGATTACAGTGTCTTTTTTGCGCATCTTGAGAATGTGCATTCCATTTACAAGTACATTCTCGGAATATTCCAAGTACTTGTTAAGTTTTTTCCATATCACCTTGGATTTATCTGTTGGTCCTTCTACTGGTACTTCTTCTTCTACTTCGATCTCCTCGTTGAAAAGCGTCTTTCTCTCTTCATCAGACAATGGTTGAAGTTTCATCTTGCTAAGCATGGAGCGTTCCAAGATATCCAACTCTGGAACATCACCGACACCGCGCAGAGCATCAAGCGTAAACAGGCCAACGTATGTATTCTTTCCAGATAGCCTGACAATGTACTTGCCATTCATCGTAAACTTAGTTGCATACTCAAGCATGTCGTTATTAGGATGAATCATCCATCCTCTGTCCTTCTGCAACAGGCGAAGACTGGGACAGAGAAGTATAGAACGGGGACGAGAGTTGAAGCAGTGATGATTGATGTTATTACTATGGTACAACTAAATATATATACAAAGTCGCCAACTAGGTTTCTAGGTGTAGTGTCATAGTGAGTCAGAGATGATAGAGAGTGACAAGGAATGACTAACTAGAGAGCAATGATAAACCTAATATGTTGCACCTTCCCCTCTTAAAAAAAAATCCGCTAAGTCCTAAGGCCATGGTCGCGCTTGTACTTGTTGAGGATGTCCTTACAGTGTGCCAGTTCACTCTCTGGTTCCCATGTCCAGTCCTCGCGCGGGTATCCTTGCCATTGTAGAAGGTACTCCATGTTGTTGTTAACCTTCCTATGATCTGCAATGGCCTCGACCTCATACTCTTCCTCGTCTTCAACGATAACCGGTGGTGGCCGTGCTGGTGTTCTTGGTCCTAGCGTCGCAGGTGATGGTTGGTAGCGTCGGAATCGGTCGACGTGGAAGACGGGGTGAATCTTCATGGACGGTGGAAGATCAAGGCGGAAGGAGACCGGGGACAGCTGTTCAACAATGGTGTGGGGGCCGGCAAAGCGAGCCAAGAGTTTCTGCGACGTGCGGGTGCGGTCCGAGGGTAAGGTGATATTCTCAAGGTTAAGGAGAACGTGGTCACCAACCTTGAAATCATGCTCTCGCCGATGGATGTCGGCGTTGGCTGCTTGACGTTCTTGGGCGGCAGCAAGGGACTCCTTAGCGAGGGTGAGGGCTTCGCTTCGAGATTGCACGAACTCGTTAACCGATGGGTTGGGGCCGGGAGTAGGGGTCAACAATGACATGGGCATGTTGGGATGGGCTCCGGAGTTCAAGAAGAACGGGGAGACTCCAGTGGAGGCATTGGTGGCGTTGTTCGTGGCAAATTCGGCGGCGGAAAGTAAGAGGTCCCAGTTAGACTGCCGTTGGTCGACAAAGTTACGGAGCATGGTGATAAGGGTGCGGTTGGCACGCTCGGTCTGGCCATCGGTCTGAGGGTGGAAGGCAGTCGACATGGCAAGGTGGACGTCCATCAGACGGCTCAATTCTTTCCAAAAGCGGCTCGTGAACTTGGTATCGCGGTCGGAGACAATGGTGGTTGGCATGCCGTGCAAGCGGAAAACATGGTCGAAAAAAATGCGTGCAACTTGCGAGGCGGAGTCGGTGGTGTGGCAGGGGGCAAAGTGCACTTGCTTTGTGAGTTTGTCAACAAAGACCGTAATGGAGTCAAAGCCGCGTGGGGTCTTGGGTAGGGGGCCGACAAAGTCCATTGTCACCGTTTGCCAGGGTCGATCGGGAATGGGTAGGGGCTGGAGGAGGCCAGCAGGTGGTTGGTTGCTGGGCTTAGTCCTTTGGCACGACTCACAGGTCTGCACATACAGCCGGGTGTCCTTCGCCATAGATGGCCAGAAGAACCGCGAGTGGAGATGACCGTACGTCTTCTCGAAACCGAAGTGACCAGCTATAGCGGAGTCGTGTGCATCGTGAAGAAGAGAAAGCCGAAGGTCAGAGTTCGAGGGGATACAAACAAGTAAAAGATCATTACGTTGAATGCAAAGAACACCATCAACAAGAGAGTAATTAGACGGTGGACTTCCCTGGAGGCAGCTTTCATAGATCGGTTTGAGGCGGTGATCCTCTTTGTAACCATCCATCAGGCGCTGCCGGAGCCTGGGGTCGAGCTGTACTGAGAGTGTGTTAATCTCTCTATGGTCCGGTCGGCGAGACAGGGCATCTGGGACAATGTTGTCGGCTCCTTTCTTGTACTTGAAGGTGAAGTTGTATTCCTGCAACAGTTCCATCCAGCGGGCCTGACGGCGGGTGAGTTTGGGTTGAGTGGGGAAGTGTTGGAGGGTGGCATGGTCGGTGTATACGATGAAGTGGGATCCGTCCAGATAGTAGCGCCATGTCTTCAATGCATGTACAACAGCCAACAGTTCCTGTTCGTGTGTTGGGTAGTTGCGTTCGGCAGAGTTCAGCTTGCGGGAGGTGAAGGCGACGGGGCGCGACTCGCCATGCTCATCGGTCTGAAAGAGAACGGCACCGAGAGCAAAGCCGGAGGCATCGGTTTCGACGGTTGTTAGAAGGTCGGGGTCGAAGATACGTAGAACAGGTGCTTTACTGATGGCCTCCTTCAGAGTCGTAAACGCTACTTCCTGCTCCTGAGACCAAGAGAAAGGAACGCCTTCACCTAAGAGAGCGGTCAACGGTAGGGCGATCGAGGCAAAGTTAGCGATGTACTGATGATAGAACTGTGCAAGACCAACAAACTGCTGAACATCTTTCTGCTTCTGGGGACGGGGCCATTCACGGATGGCACGAACGAGACCGCCGCTCGTATGGATACCGTCCTTGGAGATGACGTGGCCGAGGAACTCGGTCTCTTTCTGCATAAAGGAGCACTTGCTCAACTTGGCGTAGAGACCGTACTTGCGGAGGAGCGTGAGGACGGATCGGAGATGTTGTAGATGTTCGGCCTCGGCGCGCGAGTAGATAAGAATGTCGTCGAGGTAAACAACAACCCACTTGTCGAGAACAGGGTCTAATACTCGTAGCATCATATTGGAGAAGGACGCCGGTGCATTCGTTAACCCGAAAGGGACCACATTAAATTCGAAATGGCCGTAGCGGCAACGGAAGGCTGTCTTGTGTGTGTCCTCTTCTGCTATACGTTGCTGATGGTAACCGGAGAGGAGGTCAAGTTTGGTAAAGTAGCGTGCCCCGCGGAAACGGTCGATAAGTTCATCAATGCGGGGAAGGGGGTGTCTGTTCTTTTTTGTAATCCGGTTTAACCCTCTGTAATCAACACACATACGCAAGGAACCATCCTTCTTTTTCACAAACAATACAGGGGCACCATAAGGGGAGGTAGAGGGTTTGATAAAGCCTTTGCCAAGTAGGTCGTCGAGTTGCTTCCTTAGTTCATCCAATTCAGCAATCGAGAGACGTATAACAGGGCGAAAGGGGGGATCAGCGCTCGGATCAGTTTCGATCTTCATTGCATCGCCTCTGTCAGGGGGAAGGCCAGAGGGGAGGGAGGAAGGGAAAACGTCGGGGAACTCGTTGTGGACGATGTTGTGAATGTCGGGTGAGAGTGGAGGGGAGGTCGGTTTGTTGTCATTACTGTTGTTGTCGTTGGTCTTTTTAGCGATGTTGACGAGGGCGAGGTAGACAGCGTTTCCAGGTTGGGTAGCAAGGGAGTGAAAGTGAAGGTGAGAGAGGAGTTTCCCTTGTGTGCGAGCGGAGATGGAGTTGGCGTTGGCACCACGACAGCGCCAGAGAACAGTGTGTCCATTGTGGGTGAAGTGAAGGTCGTTGTTTCGCCAGTTGATGAAAGGGTTGATGGTCGTTAGCCAGGGTTTTCCAAGGATGAGGTCGTAGTTGGAGAGGGGGTAAATGAGTGCTTCCAGTTTGTCGGAGTAGTGGTCGCGGTCGATGGTAAAGGTGGAGGTGGATGATGAAATGGAAGAGGAACCGTTTGGAAGGATGATGGGGATGGAGGGGCCAGGAGTGCGAGTGAGGGAGTGTTGTTTGCAAAAAGAAGAACTGATGACGTTCCCTTCCGCACCGCAATCGATTAAAATACGCGCAGGGGCACCAGCCACATTACCAATAAACGACAAGAGTGTACGGGAGGCTTTCTCAGCCGTGAAAGCGTGCAGACGGACGGATTTGTGTCGCAAGCGTTTGGTCCTGCGCTTGGACATGGGTTGGTCTAAAGCAGCAGGAGAGGAGAGTGGGTCCAGGTCCACTTCTTCTGATGGGCTAAGACCAACAGGCGAGGTATCAGATACGTCGTCGGTGAGTTGTAACTCATCGTCAAAGGGTACCGTGGTGGAGTGAGTGTTGGGGGCAGTGGTGGTCGAGTCGATGGCAATTGAGGAGGGAGTACGAGGCGAGGCAGGGATGGATGAGGGAAAAAGGGAGAGTGGAGGAGGAGAGAAGGAGAGTTTGTGTAGGCTACGAGGTGCGGATGTGGTAGTGCGAATAATGGATACAGAGGGGGGAGTGTTTTTGATAGCAGAATTTTTATTCTTGGAACTGTAACTTAACTCTGGTAAGGAAACACTCCCTTTGTCCAGAGGAGAAAGGGAGGGAACGTCGACGATCAAGTCCTGGACTAAGCCTGATCGTCGGAGGCTTTTCCCGACTCGGGGGAATCACCCACGGCTACTTGATAAACCCATCGTCCTTGGCGGTTGTTGTTGTTGCCACGGTTGGTATTGTTGTTGTCGCCGTAGATGGGGCACTCCTTTGCATAATGTCCAGGTTGGCGACAGCGACGGCAAGCATTGTTGTTTTTACACCATTCGCGTTCCTGAGGGGTCAGGGAAGGGGGATTACCGTTGTTGTTGTTTCGGGGGCCGTTGTTGTTATTGTTGTTGCGGTTGTAGTTATTGTTATGACCCATGTTTCTCTCTAGGCGATTAAATCGTTGGGTGATATTGTTGAGGGCGATCTGGATGTTGTCGATTTCCATGGGGGTGGCTTGAGAGAGAGCGGAGGAAGAGGTGAAGGAAGAAATGATGGGGGCGGAGGCGATGGCGAGCGAGTTGGTCTTGGGGCCGGTGTCGGGTTTGAAGGAGTAAATGCGGTCCATCTCTTGGGCGTATTGAAAGATCTGAATGAGGGTGATATTGGGGTTTTGAATAATGTGTCCTTCGATCATCTGTTGAAGAACCAAGGGGCAGTTGTCGATAAAGGATGTTTGGGCGAACTCGTTGACCGTGGTCTTGGCAGCGTCGGTGGAGGCATAACCAAGAAGGGCGCCCAAAAGTTCCTTGAATGTAGATAAGTAGGTCGAAAAGTTGGTGGTCATGCGAAGATTGGTGAGGTGTCGTCGACAGGAGCCCGCAAAGTTGTTGGGAATGTACTCTAGCTTAAAAGCAGGAGTAAACTCGGTCTCGAAGTTGCAAGTATCAGGGAGCCCACATCCATCAAACCA